AGGGATCATCCACGACGCGTGCACGGACTTGCACGTATCCGGGAACGGATTCGACGACTTGGCGTACTTGGAGAAGTGGATTGCCGCTCGGGCGATGCGGGAATGGGACTTCTGGACGGAGAATGCATCCGGGTTGGCGGATGAGATCGACCGGAGACTCGCGGGTTTCGCCGGCTGCAAGCAGATCGTGTGCGATCCCGACGGTCGCGACGTGTTCTCGAAGGATTTCCGCGAAAGGCGAACCAGACTCTTCTCATGCTTCGTCCGTTCGTTCCGCGCTTCCCGGATGGTCGTGCAGAGGGTGGAAAGAGCTGGATTTCACCATATTATGTTCGTTCCTGCAAAGCTGAAATAAACCAGGCGGCGTCTCTCGTAAAAAGAATCCCACTTGGGCCAAGACTAAATGCGACGAAGTCTTAGCAAACCGGAGTGAAAAAATTGCGTTTCAAATCATGTACTATTTTGCTCGTGCACACACCCACACAGACGTACATTCCACCTTTCTCGGTTCGAAAAAGAAATCCCAGAAAGATTGGAAAACCATCTTAAGAGTTGAAATTTCTCCCAAATTTAGTTATTGATGGCAGTAATTGCATCTTCCAACAAATAAAACGTTTCTAGTTTTGAGAAAAACCCTATCAGAACCTGAATGAGATGCAGATACGTGGGTATATACGAGGGCTGGCTGAAGTTCTCGGCCTATGTGGGAAGGAGTGAGAATAGAGCTTTCTAACTTGAACACTTTTCGACATAGTCCCTTTGGACTTGTAAGCACTCATTCCACTGGCGGTAAAAAGCCATCATCCCATTCCTATAGAACGTTACTTTCTGATTGTTGCACCAGTCCCTTTACAGCATCGGCAACCTGTCCGTCTTCGTTACATTTTTTTGTCACGAAAGTGCTTCTTCATCTGAGATTAAAGTCAGAAGGGGCTAATCTGGTCAGCAAGGTGGATGGACAAGTAGTCCAAAGTCACAGTCTTTTCAATGCAACGCGTGACCTATGTGCGAGGGCATTTTTCACAAATACGTGGTCTTTCTCAAAACAAATGCGTGGAAAAAAAATTATTTCAATAGAACTTGAGAACCGACACAATAAATATTTCTACACTCAAAAAGGTTTTGGGCTAGGTTGAACGCCCCATTCCAAGTTGGGCCGAGAAATATTCATCCGGCCCTCGTACTCTTATCGAGCCGTGCGAGCAAACGCCGCTCGTGATCTCCGACGGTGGCGGAGACGGGACGCTTAATAAGTGGGTCGTCTTCAACGCCGTGGCAGCTCTAGCAAAATCGAGTCACTCGCTTCTCATAATTTCGATGGCACGCTCACCGACGGTTTCAAACTGCGTCATGCGAATTTCAGATGCCGCTTTCCCCAGCAACGTCTCGACGCACACGCCCAATGTTCGATCACGCTGGCAGATGCCCTTGCTTCTCAGCAGGTGCGACGTCATCACAACACGGGCAATGTCTCTGTTGCGTCATTGATCGTGAGCACGAAGATCCCCGCTACACTCCCGTATCAAAGTCGCAAGGCTAAAAAAAAACATGGTGCGATTGCGATGGAGGAGGAATAGAAACTCGTGAGATGGCCCTCGTATGTATAAAATCACCATGAATTCCGTTGACGATTCACATATTCATTCGTGCGGTCGTTTTGAATCGAAATTCAGAGGATCCATGATTTCATATGCTCAGCTATAGCATACTGCAGTGGATATACAAGGGGCATTCTGAAAGTTCCGATCCTTGATTTTTCCCTCCACGATCAAAAGTGTGGGACACACGCGATTTGGCATACGTATGTCTCAGCATGTTAAGGAAAATTAGTAGAAGCAAATCTACTCTTCGTGCATTACTTTGTCTGCAGTTGATAATGGAACGGAGGATGATAACAGATGAAGCGGCGAGCTGTGGTTGACTTCGAAGCGAACGAAGGGGAAACTGCGGTGAACATTAATTACAAGAAATGCATGGGAGCAAAAACATGGGTAGGTCGTCTGAGAGCACATATTTCTATTTTCAAAACAGTACTTGTCAAATAGTCAAATATTTTAGTCCATCACTGTCGATTCCCTCAACGATAATTACCTAAATTGCCTTTCATTTCGTGAGATGCTTTCTTTCATGCACCAATACTTCTCCTCATTAAGGTAGTTGAAATACAATATATGAGTGTTTGGAGTATCTGGAGTACGGGAAGGTAGTTGTGGTCAAAATTATGGTTTCACCTTGACTTTTTAAAATAATTACTCTGTGAAACCACTGAAAATCACCCTCTCCACAACGATCTCAATTGTAGAGACTGCTTTCATCAATAATTGTTACAAGATTTCTTTATGCAGAATCATTTTAAAAGGCTTAACTACTTACCATCATTTCATTTTTTTTTCAATTTACATTATAGGCTTCAAGTTACCACTAAGAATCTGAGCCCCAAAAATAACTTAGATAAAAAGCAATGTTGCAGCAAGCACTGGGGAATAAGAGTTGAACTCAGCATCAAATAGCACCCATACACACAGATATATTATTATCATGTGCCTTTCCAGTTGTTATCCTATGAACAAAAACTTAAAGGAAAGTATTCAACACAACACTCCCCATTATGTCATGGATTCAACTAACTGTTGGCACTCACAGGCTTGGGCTGGTTTCAAAACATCAGCTCAGTTGCAGTTTGGTTCTAGTTTAAGTACTTACTTTGGTCAGACTGAAGTTCTATTGTGGTTGTAGCAACTATTCTCATAACAAAATCAAAACTGGAACAGGGACTGAACTGTGACTGGACTGCAGTTTCCAAATCAGCCTTAGTCAGGAAAGCATCAGCTTTTTAGATAAGACAGGGCAAGGTCTATTATCAAATTTAGTTTATGATCTATTTATTTTATTTTCCTGGGTGCAAGATATAGACTTGAAGAGAAGACATCTAAATAAAGCTGAACACTTACAATCTCTGTTCTGACCTGATCACCTGATCTCTGTTAACAGAGATCAGGTGGGTCTATAAGAAAACAAAATCAAGCTTGGACTGCAGGGTATCCAGGCCATCAGAGCAGCACCCAATCTCTGGCTTTCTCACCAGAGGGCAGTGCTTCTCCAGGCACTTCAGTGTAGCCCTTGTCACACCAGTACACTCCTGAAAGAGGCAGGGTGTTCACAAAGAAATGATCAGATCCTATTGGGACCTTCCATTGGGGAAACCGACCCGGAAGGAAAATTCCCGCAGATGAGGGGTGCGATGGAGGAGCCGAGCAAGACCGTCGTCCGAGATCTGGGTGCAGCCTGATACATTCAAGCTTCTCAAGGATGCCACCTCAGGTAACCCACTCAAGTGCACCATGCTCAGATTGCTGATCTAGGATAGGGTAAATTAGAGGAATCAGTACTAACATGCTGCCTTTTGTAAACTGAAAAAAAACAAAATATTATACAGATTTTCCTGAAGCAAACTAAACATCCAACAAAAATGTGTTCTTCATAACAATCACATAACAAGCAAATTGGCATCTTGCAACCTCTTCAGCGTCAAAGTATCTATGCAGCATGAATTCATAATATACAATATGAAAGTGATGGAGGCATACTAGAGGAGAGTAGGAGAGATTGAGATGCTGAAGAGCTTGGTCTTGAATCCCTGAGATCACAGTGACATCTGTGATGTTCTTCATCCCTATCATTGCCAACTCCCTCAGATCTGAGAGAAAAGCAGAAATCTTGATACTTAAGAGGCAATTCTCAATGAGAGTTTGAAGCAAGTCAAACATGATATTCACGTTGGAGCTTCCTTAAGGGGGGATCTGCGCCACCACAAGTGGATACCAGTAGCTCCTCTGAGGCTTCTTTGGCCTTTATCTCCCTCACAAGGCGCCTCTCAGTTTCGCTCTTGGTGCTCACTTCCCAGAAGCCCCTTTCCTTCATCTCAGGTGTCAGCCCTGATAAGACAATTCCTGTAACAACAATTTAATGATAACTGATTTCAAGCCTCTTCCTGCATTCTTAATGCATGCACATGTTCAATGAGCAACCAAATAAAGAGGTATTGATAGCAGATGTAATGCATAGTGACATATGTACAAGGAGGAAACCATTATTTGATATAGATGATTCTGTTCCCAGGCAGTTTTGAGAGCCATCTGAGAAACCATTCATCCTACCAAGGGTTTTTAGGCATTATTTGAACTCTCCAAGAGTGGGGATATGCAGACACTTGGTTTCAGGACTTTTGGAACAAGTGAAGCATCTCATAGGAAAGACTTTGTGGACTCTGCTACTACTTTGCAGCCTGAAATGACCCATTGGCAGTAGTTAGCATTGAAATAAGTCATTTTTGGGGGGTAACCAAGCAGTTTTAATAAGAGAGGTAGGACCTTTTATGCAGGGATGTTTCACGACCTTTGTCAAATATTACTTGATTACATGGTCCTGTGTAGAACAATTTTCTCAAAATATAAGAGCTGTGTAATCAACTTACATTGGGCTTTCAAAAACTCAAAATTTCCAAGAATCTCAAATCTAAGTTCAGTTACTTTTGCATATCCCAACCCAATACATTTTAAATAGATACTGCACAAAAAAAGGAATCACGAAGACCATGTCTAATATATGTCTCAAATGTTACTTGGCAACTACTCACTCAGTGAAGTGCTCACCTACTGCTTGGAATTCAATGGCATTTGTTTATCAGAGATTTTTACAGGATCCTGGATGATCCTTTATTGTTCATGCTATAAAATCTGAAGCCTGTACCGAAGTAGTTTCATGTTAAAGACCAGCAGAATTGACCATACGGGAGAAAGCGAAGTCCGTGAGAGGAAGATCCCGAAGCCTCAGAACAACGAGATTTTTCAATGTGCCCAGAAGAACCTGCATATCTAAGTCTGTGATTGTTGAGCATCGTTCGAGGTACAGTTCTCTCAGTTGCTGTGGCTGACAAGTCTGTTCATCACACGGATTGGGTCTGAGATAACAATATTCAAGGGATAAACATCTCAGCTGCTTCAAGCCAACCAGGCGAAAATCGCCATGACAGGAAATTTTAAGATTGTTTAAGTCTTGAAGGCCATGAAGTCCTTCAAGAACACCTTTCGAGAAGGAGACAGAACCATCACCCATCGACAGGTCCCTCAAGAAGGGAAGGTGGGTACAAATCCGAGAGAGAACAGGGTCCGAAACGCCGCTCGTCCCCGCGAGTCGAAGCCCATGCAATGATTTCTGTCTCTCGATTATTTCCACCAAACACTGCGATGACAATTCCCTGCAGCCACTCAAGTCAAGGAAGCCAAGCAGAATGGATGTCTTGCACAGAATGTTGCAGAGAGAGGAGGAGTTCAAGTTCATGTGAGTCAGTGAGAGAGAGTGAAACTTTTCCTTGGAACACACGAGGCGTTCGAGATGTCGCATCGTGAGGACGTTATTCGTCGGTTCCTCCGAGCCTCTCGGGTAGAAGCGACGGAAGATGGCTGGGTTGGAGGCCAGATTCGAGGCAGAGAGGGAAAACTGCACCAAATTGGGGCAAGCTCGCCAAAAGACTGTAAGAAGGGAGTCGTCGAGGCGGCGCGTAGAACTCAGGTCCAGGCACTGCACCGAAGGGAGAGATCCCGGATGGAGTCGAAGGGGAAGACACAGAAAGGCAACGCACGGATCGTGGATACAGAGACGGCTCAGCCGCGGAGAACTCGTCAGGAGCCGAACCAATGCGTCCGGGTGCACAGAACACGACAATAATGCGAGCTCTCTCGTGTCTTCGAGCACTTGCTTTCCGTCGTCCGATCCCGAGCCTTCGAGGGCCACGTTCTTGAAGACGAGGGAACGAGGGACGACGGACCACGAAGAGAGCATCTTCAGGATTCCGGTGATGTCAAAGTCAGGTGGGGCATCGCAGACGACCTTCCCCCTCTCTCTGAAGTGGAAATCTCCCACTTCCTTCCATTGTCGGCTGACGACACGCACTGCCAGAATATCTTCCCAGTCCAAGTATTCAAAGATCCCAGACAGCACCTTCATGGTAGGAATAGGGATCATTAAAACTAACAATAAAAGTATTACAAAAGTAACATTTCTGGGAAGAAACGGAAGAAAGGCAGCAGCTCGTCAGTTCAGAAGTAGAGTTTGCTAATTGATACAAATAAATCAATACCCCGAAAGTACTGCTTGAAAATGATGTTTTTCCTCGCCCCAATAAAGACCTTGCCCCCAAAAGCAGAGACAGTATAAATGCCAATGCCAGCCATCTTTCAATCCAACACAAGAATGAGAGGAAGACTGAGGGAAGGTGACCAATTTTCTGGATGAAAATCAGTGGACTGATCTTTCAACGATACCGCTTCGATGATTTATTGGGTTGGAAAGAAAGTCTTGCAACACGGCACAAATTTTTCAAAATTTTATAACTTTACTGAAATGCAATTTCAGTCTACAATGTAATGACCATTGTTGTCTATGAGCTCCTGCCAACCGGTACCA